TACTTCAGTCAAAAAAAAAAAAAAAATTACAAACTCAAGCCCCTGTTTGGGAAATGAAAGTACTTTACTGAAATACAGCAGCCCAGGAGCCATTAAACCAACAGTGGGTGGGACAAGGAATGACTGGCAGGGTTTTTGGTCCCCATGGCATGCCTGGCCAGTTTCCTGCTGCTGTCTTCCATTTGTGAGCTGAGTCACTAGTATGTCGTGGGTAGGGTCTGTGCTGTCAGAGATCTGCAGCAGAGGTTGCAAGCTTGGCAGAATCCAGGTACAGTCATGTTTTCTGCGCTGTATGGGATGTGTCAATCCTATGGGCAGTATGAGGTGAGAGAAGGGGGGGGGGATTGAACTCTGGGTGACTCTGCGATAACTCAGTGTGAATTAGGGGAAGGAAACCTCACCCACGTAGGAGTGCCTCAAGACTAATACATCAGCACAGCATTCACACCACTCAGAGGGGAAACGCCGCGAGCTTCATAAGTATTTCTGTTGGGGTCCTCACCTGCAGCAATGAGGATCAGGGAGCTGAGATGGGGTAAAAACAAGCCAATAAAGGGGAAAAAAAGGTTGTTTTCAGCCAGATCAGCTCCCTGCACTGGCTCACCAGGCGGCTCCGCCAACAGACCGGATGGAAGGATGTGGAGGGGACAACACACATGGAGAGGGATGAACCAGTGGGGCTGGCACTGAAGGGGATGCTTGGGAAGCCTGATGGGAGCAGGGAGGGGGGGCACACGGGATGTGGGGAATGAGGTCAGAGCTAAAAATTACACAAGCCCCTGTTTGGGAAATGAAAGTACTTTACTGAAATACAGCAGCCCAGGAGCCATTAAACCAACAGTGGGTGGGACAAGGAATGACTGGCAGGGTTTTTGGTCCCCATGGCATGCCTGGCCAGTTTCCTGCTGCTGTCTTCCATTTGTGAGCTGAGTCACTAGTATGTCGTGGGTAGGGTCTGTGCTGTCAGAGATCTGCAGCAGAGGTTGCAAGCTTGGCAGAATCCAGGTACAGTCATGTTTTCTGCGCTGTATGGGATGTGTCAATCCTATGGGCAGTATGAGGTGAGAGAAGGGGGGGGGGATTGAACTCTGGGTGACTCTGCGATAACTCAGTGTGAATTAGGGGAAGGAAACCTCACCCACGTAGGAGTGCCTCAAGACTAATACATCAGCACAGCATTCACACCACTCAGAGGGGAAACGCCGCGAGCTTCATAAGTATTTCTGTTGGGGTCCTCACCTGCAGCAATGAGGATCAGGGAGCTGAGATGGGGTAAAAACAAGCCAATAAAGGGGAAAAAAAGGTTGTTTTCAGCCAGATCAGCTCCCTGCACTGGCTCACCAGGCGGCTCCGCCAACAGACCGGATGGAAGGATGTGGAGGGGACAACACACATGGAGAGGGATGAACCAGTGGGGCTGGTACTGAAGGGGATGCTTGGGAAGCCTGATGGGAGCAGGGAGGGGGGGCACACGGGATGTGGGGAATGAGGTCAGAGCTGGGCTGAGCAGTGGGGTTATGCCATGAACACTATTATTTTCTGCTCTTCGGCACTGCCTCTGCTGAAGGCACATGGAGTGAGATACGCTCCAAGAAACCACAGTATTGTTAAACATAGCTCAGGACTGAGCTGTAACTTAAACTCTGATAAATGACTGCCTGCTTTGGTTTATGGCTGAAGCTGTCTAGTCTGAGAGAAGGAAGTAAATCTGTCCACCAGCATCTGTCCACCAGCAAGGGTACACGGTCCCCTCTGAGGTGAGAGAGCACAGGGAGGCAGCAGCCGGCAGGACCGCGGCCCCACGGCTGCTGGCGGGGACATGCACCATCCCCTCCCATCTGCTGAGGGCAGTGGGCAGGCTGGTTGTCATGGTTTAACCCCAGTCGGCAACCAAGCACCTCACAGCCGCTCGCTCACTGTCCCCCCCGGCCCCGGTGGGATGGGGGAGAGAATTGGAAGGGTAAAAGTGAGAAAACTCGTGGGTTGAGATAAGAACAGAACAAAAAGAGAGAGAGAAACAAAACCCAGGAAAAACAAGTGATGCAACCGCCCCCCACCCGCCAACTGACCCCCAGCCAGTCCCTGAGCAGCGATGGCTGCCCCTTGGCCAACTCCCCCCATTTTATGTACCGAGCACGAAGTCATATGGTATGGAATATGCCTTTGGCCAGTTTGGGTCAGCTGTCCTGGCTGTGCCCCCTCCCAGCTTCTTGTGCACCTCCTTGCTGGCAGAGCATGGGAAGCTGAAAAGTCCTTGACTTAGTGTAAGCACTGCTTAGCAACAACTAAAACATCAGCGTGTTATCACATTATTCTCATGCTAAATCCAAAACACAGCACTATACCAGCTACTAGGGGGAAAACTAACTCTATCCATGCCTTTTGAAAAGAAATTCCTTTGCTGCAGCACAAACGAAAAGCATGAAGCAGCTGGCCAAGAGACATCGTGCTGCTCCGCTTAATCCCAGAGCACTGAGGGGGCTCTTGCTGGGTCAGACTGTTCCCCTCTGAAGTGCTGTGCCAAAAGCACAGAAAACATTGTTTGGGGACGAAAGCAGCTGTGGCACTCTCTTGAGAAAACACAGGAACAATAAATCAGCCGTACGTTTGTATGAGTGGTGGCAGATAGCAGCGCAGCAGGCGGCAGCCTCCCGAAGCATCCCCTGGCCTTGCAAAAGGTCACAGAGCGCAAGCAGTCCCTGCCGGTTCCCACATGGCAGAAACAGCACTGCTGTAACCGTGAGTTTAACTCCACAGCAATCCCATCACGCCTTTATTTTTTTAAGTGAAAACCACAGCCCATTCGCTCTCCACGCCCCACATCACGGCTGGCCCATTGGTGTCTGGTCTCCTTCCCCCTGGGACGAGCAGGAAGCACCCAGTGGATGGCATCTGAGCAGCTCAGTAGGCAGCCAGCACAAAGCCCCGGGAGCTCGTCTGTCTGATGAAATCATCTCACAGCATGAAGATCCTCACAGCTGAAATTGAAAAGTTATTTACTTCTCCTCTACAGGGGAAAAACAGCTCACTGTGGAGGCTGTTTGTCCTTTGGGGCAGGAATCTCAGTTTGGCCAGCTTTCGTGTCTCTGCGTGCTGGCTGGGAGCAGTGAGGTGCTGTAGCAGGCAGGATGAATGGAGCAGTACTGATGCCATCCAGCCTGCAGCCTCCCTCTGCCGGGGCAGGTGCACCAAGGGGCAGAGGTCGGGCACCGGCTCGAGCTGTTCCCCTCTGTGGGACGTGTTTTCCTGGCATTCACAGCAGCGCTGCTAAAAGCAGCTCTTTCTCTGCTGCAGCCAGTTAGTAGTGCAGAGGATGCTTCTCCATCCTAATCCCTCAAGACACCAAACCGCCCTGAGAGGAGCCACAGCTGAGGTGTTCTGCACCCTCGCCGACAGCCCCGGGGACAGCAGTCGTCATTACCCAAAGGGACGGTGAAGCTCATACATGTCCCCCGGGTGCCTCGAAGGGACGTCACAGCCTCCAAAGTCCTTCCCCCTCCCGGGTGTCAGCATGTCCTCTGCAAGGACGCTGGGCAGGTGCTGCTGAGCTCTGCAGCTCACCGAGGAGCTTTTCCATGGTAATGCTCACCCTGCTCACTCCGGCTGGGACATGAGACCAATTTAAAATCACCCAGGGCATGGTTTTACCACTATTCTCATTCTGTACTGCCCTTTCACTTATCGAGGGTGGACTATTTCCAAGCATTCCCCACATGGCCTAATCCTGCTCCCACCACAGTCTGCAAAAGGCACAGCACTGACTTGGGCTAGTGCTCAATGCTTTGCAGCATCCCATCCCAACAGGGTATTTGAAAGGTTTCTGTGAATGTTAAACCAGCTGCTCTGCTAGAAGAAAGTAATCTCAGAGCAGGTGAGAGCTGAAGAAGCTGCCCAGGGCCAGTCTTTGCTCCACACCAGCAGAACTGTTCTCCAGATCCTCAGAGACTCATTTGGAAACTTGACTTGGTGCAGACGTGACTCAGACCGAGCTGATACCGCACAGGCCAATTTTGCAAGTTCTGGGAAACTGGGAATCTAGGAAATACTGCAGGAAACCCTTGTGGGTGGTACACACAGATTTCTTATCCCACTTGGATGTTACCTGCTTGCTCGGACCCTGTGCTAAGCAGGACTGCTCATTTTGTGATGGGTAGGATGGGGGTCCCGCTTCAGGACTGGGGCTCCTACATGCCAGAATAGTAAAAAATAGCATTCAATAGCAACAACGCATCTGTTCAGAAATGTGGATGCCGTTGCATCACCGTCAGGCTTCAAACCTCAAAGAAACGGTTCATCCCATGGCCAGAAGCACCGGCGTGCCAATAGGGCCGAGTTTCCACTAGAGGGTTGTAGTGCTGTGCGGAAGCAGATGTGGTTCTGTGGCAGTAATATTGTATGTACTCCAGGCCTTTGTCAGCGGATCAAAAGCATCCTGCGACAGCCCGGCTTCCAGCAGTCTCTGCAGTCTCTGATGTACACAGCCTGCAAGCTGCGAGAGGGCTGGTGCCTGAGCAACCCGCTTCCCTGCCTTCCCTGAAAAGCCTCTAGCATTCACATGACTCAGCACCTACTATATATATATGTACACACACACACACACACACACAGATATAGTAAGTAAACACACTGTGTCTATGCGTATACACACACAGACAATATGTTTATTTGTGTACCTGGTATTTCGATGCACGAACAGCCATGCGGCGTGGTGGTGGCATGCCATCGCGAGGAGCCGGGGCACCTCTGGTGGAGGAAAGCCCACAGCCTGGCAACACGAACGGGACAATTAGCAGTATCGGTGCAATCAGGAGGATGGGAAAGCAATAGCTGTTGGCATACAGCCCTGGCTCCAGGCCAGGAGCTGCCATGCTGCGCGCTGCACCAAATGTGGGTGCTGGCCCCCGGAGCTTGCAAGCCAGCCTTGAACGGGAGCTGTCAGAGGGGACTGCCACTTCTGCCACCAGTCATGTCCCCACGTCCAATGCAGCTCAGTAGGTCCTAGTGAGTTTATGTGTATGTGACCCCAGTATGCATATCTTTTACAGTAGCGTATGTATTTTTGCATGTGGATCTATAGAATCATAGAGGGTTTGGGTTGGAAGGGACATTTAAAGGTCATCTAGTCCAACCCCCCTGCAATGAGCCTATGTTTGTGGCTTTCTGAGTAGCTGGTGTGCAAAGTGCTGGCAACTGTACTGTCCAGAACAGGGTGGTTTTACTGCTGAAAACAAAAACTGGAGTTGTCTAACACAGTGAGGAAAGCCCAAATAGCACTGACATTGCCTTCCTTTCATAGAAAGAGTGGGAAGGCAAATGTAACCACAAGGCTTGCCTGTAACATGGAAAACACAGCGTGACGTTCACAGAGAATTTACATAGTGATAGATTTATGTACCACCTGTTTGTCTGATACTATCGCCATTTCCATTTATAGATAGATGGAAAATAGATTTTGCCTACATTTTCATCTCTTGCTATCAGAAAGGCTTTGAGAAAATAAGTAGGAGATATTCTTGCAAAATAAATGATTACAGCAAAACATGGGTCTTAGTTCCCTTGGAAGATGACCTGATCTTACCTAAATACAGCTGTGTAGAAACCAACTGTCGAGTCAACAGAGAGGCCTGAGAGTGCTGGCATAGATTATCTGACCCAAAATAGACATTTGAATCCTCTGCCCTTTATAGCCGGCTGGTGGAGCACCTCTTCTCATGCTAGCAGGAGACATCAGAAGGAGGTTGAGTGAGCTGCCTCCTGCTGTACAGGACAAAAAGGCACCAGGGGAGACTAATCCAGCTGGGGAGACCTGCAAGGTGGACACATGCGGTTGGGAAAGCCACCTCCCAGAAGTTATGGTCTCCATAAACAATCTCAGACTTCAGGGACACCAGACTGGTGTGCAGACTGGAGAGCAGGGACTGTGGTGCTGGTGAAACATTTCCTCCTCTGAACTGAGTAACAGTGGTGGCAGCGTGAGCCTTTGCTGATACCAGCAATGCAGAAGAGCTCTGTAACTCCAGACCACAGGGGTTACCCCTCTCCTCCTGAGGTGCTGCCATCCCTTGGTGGGCTGAACCCACAGGGCAGAGGGGTGGTGGATCACCACCAAGGACAGGTGGCTGCCGATGAGCTATGGAGAGAGAGGGTGGCAGAGAAGCATGGTGTGAAGCAGGGTTTGGAGTGTGTTACAGTGGTTTGAGAAGGAGGGGAGGGAAGGACCATAAGTGCTGTGCCCAGGAATAAGGTGTCTCAGCAGCTATAGGTTAGAAGGTTAGATTATATTTTTTGAATTACCTATTCTAACCACTAAGAACATTTATTAGCTAATCATCATGCAATAAATATTTATTACTAATCTTTCACATCTAAAATTCCTGTAGAAGATAAGAAAAAAAAGGGTGTGTGTTATTTTGGCAGTGTGAATGGTCAGGTGCAGAGGAGAGCAGCCATGCACAAGCGCCTCTGCCCCATTGGGCAGCAACAAAACCTGCCAGCCTTGATGTGGTACAAAGGCAGGCAGCTTTCTGCACCTACTTTTGCAAACAGCTCTGCAAACCCTCTTCTCACATAGCAAGGAGTCTCTGTCCCTCCCAAAGGAGTCATAAAATACAGCTTTATCCATCCTGCATGCGGTAATCAGACAGGCTTAAGAGCTTAAGCACTCATAGGGTAGCAATGTTTAAAAAGATTGCGCCGGCCTGTTTGCCTACCTCAGTCCGCTTCTCTAATCAAACCGCTCCTTGGTATGGACTTGTAGGGACACATTGTTAGTGATGGAGGCAGAAAATTGAACTTGCTAATAGAGAGGGAGTTGTTAAACTCAAGTCCTTGCGAGGCCGTGCCCAGGGCGATTAGCAGCTCGCACAAAGAGCCCGGTGCTGCTCCCGTTGCTCCGCTCACCAGCCAGCTGCCGAGTCATGGAGCATTGGGATCACACACCAGGCAAAGAAGATGGGAGCAAACACATTTCATCCTTTTAGTCTGTTTTATTAAACAAAGGCAAGCAAAACAAAACCAACCCCACTGTCAATACACCAGCTCCTCATTTACGCAAGACCCCTTTCCACAGCTCTGGGAGAACAAAAAGGCTGAAGTGTAAATGAGATCAGTGCTGGGAGCATTACACACATGAATATTTATCAAGGAAGACCAGACAGGACCCAATTTGCCACCCTCCTGCAGCAGCGGCAGCTCGGTCATCAACAAGTGGGATAGAAAGGGTAGGTGAAGAGGCTGGTCCATGCCTTTGTGTGGGCAGGGTCATGCGGGATGCTGGCAAAAGGCTGTGCCTGTGCGTGAGGATAACTGTGGGAGCCATCGGTCAGGAACGACACTGAGAGGCTCCTGGGTTTTGGGACAAAAGCTAAGTAAAATGCAGTTATGAAGCAAGCATACAATGTCCCTTCCAGTCATGCAATCAGCTTGCAAGCTGCACTTATGGAAAAAAACTCTGAAGAATTAACTGGAAGTTGTTACCATTCCTTGGGCGTGCCAAGTGCTCACAATAAATCTTTTTCTTGAAGGAAAAAGCAAGGTTAAATCAAACTACAAATCCCATCAAGCATGAGATTTACAGCAATCTAAAAGGGTTACGGGTTCATTTCTTAAACAGTTGAATTATGGCTGCTTCTGGGTATCGATATATTAAGCACGCTGACTCCCTCAGTGCTGCAGGGAGCTACGGGATGAGCAGCAACGGAGAGATCGCGTTGGTTATTGTTTTTATGTACATTTCAAAGTCACTTCCGAAAAAGAAGATGAGATAGTAGTTGAGTATTCCAGCCACGGACATGAGGAACAGGAACAAAATGATGCGCTTTCCAAACAAGTAACCAGGAGTGCTGAGGAGACAGAAAACAGGGAAAGCAATTCGTTAACATACATCGCTTCATGCGAGAAGCCTTCAGACTTTGGACTCCGCTGTTGATACCAGCTGAAACACCTCGGGGGCTGAGATGGAGGGGGCAAATGTCTGCTCTGCCTCGCATTGCTGCTCTAGTCAGCTGTGAGCTCTTAAATGCCATTTTCAGGATCTGTTTGGGTCTGGATTTAGCCTCCTGTGCTCAACATAGGCCGCTGCTTACAAAAGTGGCTCTTCAGAGGGACCTGTATATCTTCTCAGCCATCAAAGGCTGTGGGACAATCTTGTTCCACAGGTGCATAACAAGTTTTATCAACATAAAGGAAGATCTTATGCAAATAGTAGCACAAACACACAAACATGCATTTGCAGAAGCTGTGAGCAGGAGCTGCTGAAGCAACTACTCTGTTCCTGCAGCTCCCCTGACCCCTGGTACCACCGCACCTCTCGCATCCGATTTTGTAAAGAGGCTCTGCAAGTCCTTACCTCTGAGTCCTTTCCCCGAGGTAGCCCACAAAGTACTTCTGCCTCACAAACAAGTACATCAGGCCAGCAAAGGCGGCAGGAGCTGCGTAAAGGGTAAAACAACACATTACAGACAGCAGCACAGGTCTCTCTGTACGTACTGTCCCTGTCTGCTGCCTGGACTGGACCGGGAAACGGGAACCTGCAGCCTTGGGCTATGGGACAGTCACTGGAAGCAGGACAGAGACCTTTGCGTGGCAAACAGAGCACTTGCCTTGCCCTCACACCAGCTTTTCTGAAGACTTTGTGGGTGTAATCCTGCCCACAGCTGTGCCTGGTGCAGAAGTCCACTGTGTGTCACGCTGGGCTCAGGAAGGAGGGTGCCGGCTCAGGCATTGCCTTCACCAGAAATAAAAGGCAGCCAATAGATGTACTTCTGTAGGAGCAGGTGGAGGACTATACTATGGTTCAATACTCATTTCTGAGCACATAAAAAGGGGCTTTTCCCCTTTTCCCCCTAATTCTAGCTTTCCCCACACCTGCAGGCAACAGCCCTTCTTCTCCTGGTCAGGAAACTCCTCTCTTCCAGAAAGAATAGCCACAGACCCCAGGAAAGTACTCATCTTAACTTTAGGAAAACTCAAATTGCATTAAAGGGGATCATACTTAGAAATGCAGGTAAATACTCCTGGGCTGCCCTCAGCGCTGGGAAGGGCTGGCAGCTCTGGCAATTTAATCAAATGAGCCCATTTCCAGTCCCGGGGGTGAATAACACAGCATCCAGCATCCAAGTACTAAACCCTCCATCCAAAACAGAGGAATCTCATCCGTAACACCTATATGGGAAATGTCCCTGGCCTGGACTGTCCGCAGTCATGTCTGGGAACACGTCTGGTGGCATAAACCGTGCCAGGTAGTGTGCTGCTAATTAAACAGCATGGGTAGCTGCAGGACAGCCACGTGAGACTCGTCCCCCCGCTGCAGGAGAATTTGGTCCCTGGAAGGGTAACCTCCGAAATTCTCACTCCATCCCTTGCTGAAAGTGGTGCAAGGTTGAAGAGAGAAAAAAACCTGTGTGTTACCTGGGCTGCAGAGAAGGCCAGCGCACCAAAGCACAGCCAGAAACGTAGGGTACGTGTGTCCGCAGTTCTGGCTAGAAAGGAATTTGTCAGAGAGAAATCAGAACACAGGGAAAATAGAAACAAAATCAACATGTTTCATGAGCAAAGGATGGTGGGGTGTGAATTTGGGCTGTGCTAATGCCGCTGCAGGTGGGTTTTTACCCCAGAGCGGTGGGAAGCCCCTGACCTACCTGCGGCAGGGGGCAGGCCGGGGCTGCGCGCAGCTAATGCCGCTGCAGGTGGGTTTTTACCCCAGAGCGGTGGGAAGCCCCTGACCTACCTGCGGCAGCGGCGGCGGCGGGTCTGGCTGGCGTGTCCGTGCCCGAACACGGCAGCTGCCTCGCCCACAGGTCTGCTTCCCTGTTCCCTCACTCGGATAATGGATGCCTTTGTCCTGCCTGATGAGGAAAACAAACCGCCCCACGCACATGCCTGGAACCTGTGAAAGCCACTTTCTTCCTCTAACCTGTTTGATCATGGCACGTGTATAATAGATGCTGTGTGCTTTATTGGCTTGGAAAATCCTTGTACTTAAGTCATATTAATCAAGTTAGTGGCACTGAAAGCTGCAGGAAACCAACAAAAGGAGAATCGCACCACAAAAAGGAGTGTCTCACAGAATTAACAAGTGTCTTTGCAGGGGCACAGGAATGATTTCCAGCTGCCTCTTTTGGCTGGGAATGCTTTCTGAGGGGGAAGCGCTCTGCCCTTGGCAGAGGTTGCACACCTGTGAAGGGCAGCACTTGGACATCCCATCCAGTTTCAAGCATATCATCAGTACTCCACGGGTAATAA